AAGGCAGAAGTGATGTACTTGAGACACAACATTGGACATGGAAGGATGACCCTGAGGAATGTGAAGATGAAGGCCATAAAGGAATTTCCAAGACCATCCTCAAAGAAACAGGTGCTTCGATTTTTGGCACTGAGTGGATTCTATCGGAAGTTTGTACCATCTTCAGTAGCGTGGTGGCATCACTGATGGATTTGCTAAAGAATAACACAAAATTTTGGTGGGCAGAACAATACCAGGAGGCATTTGATAATTTAAAAGCTGTATTAACCACCACACCAGTTTTAGCCACACCAAATTTCTTGAAATCCTTAAAGTCGCTATCGACACTAGCAATGTAGGTGTTGGGAGTTGTGTTGATGCAGGAGGATGATGGTGGAATTGAAGGGCCAATTGGTTATTTTTTCAAAGAAATTCAAAAGCCACCACAGAAAATACTCCACTATTGAAAAAGAGTTATTGAGTTTGGTACTGGCCTTACAACATTTTAATGTTTTGGAGATGGTTGTGTATACAGACCACAACACTCTCACCTTTTTGGAAAGATTTAAGGACAAGAATACGAGACTATTTCATTGGCAACTTGTATTACAGGCTTTTAATTTACAGACAATACCTGTTGTGGGTTGTAAAAATGTTATTGCAGATACATTATAAAGGCAAGACGAGCTTCTCTGTGTGTTTCGGGTTTAATTACGAGAAGGGAACCTCTAATTCCGCCATAACAGTTTGGGGGTTTGTGTTTCAATTTAATTATCAGAGGGGTTTGACCCCCCCCTTTGTAACACCATGCTAAATTGCCCTTCGCGTCCAGGGATGTACAGGCCAGGTAAATGCAGGGTTACAGGGGTGGCGTGGATCCAGATGGGATGCCCTCTGGAGGGCTGGCACATATAATGGACCGAACAGCCTGCTTCCACGCTGTGGGGATTCTATGATTCTAAGAAGTCACCCCACAAAAATGCCAGGGCCAATGGGCTCCACTTTTGAGCAGGCTCCCTCCATGCCAGTTGCAGAACAAGGGACTACACTAAGACATAGTGGGAGAGGAGAAAGAAGGAAATCAATTGAGGGTACCTTGGTGGCAGGGATGAAAAAGGCTTGTATATGACTATTACTTTCTAAATAAATGTTCCTGATGTTAACCTTCATGTGTTTGAGTCTTTATAAGTACTAAGCGCGTCTTAGAACCACCCGGCAAAATTCTGTGATCACAGATGAGGCATTACGGATGGAGGTCTGCACTGACAGCTTATTGCACCACCAGGAAGCAGGGGAAACAATGTGTATGCATGGCATTGGGTCATGCTAACTCTGTCGTCCATCCTCGTTCAACATCCCTAATGTTTGGCTCCCAGTGTGTGTAAAGGTGTAGATGTCAAAGAATTATCTACCAGAGGCTGTGCCAGGTTGATTCAAGTACAGAGAGGGTCAATGTTGTTGGATATCAGGGAGGAGGCAGCCTGTGTGCTGTACATTGCATGGACCATGTTCTTTCTCTTTAAAAGGGATCAGTATTTGCTGCAGTCCTTTCCCTCACAGGTCAAGTCACATATCCCACTGATGTGGTCACATCCATTTTTTTCCCCAATGTGTACTTTTGATTTCCAGCATGACGGAAAGTGACAGTGAGCACATCTTTGCCATTGGTTTCCAGCCTCATCCATATGTACCAGTCAGCCCCAAATATACACATTTCCTTCCTAGAGCCCATGACGTTAAAATGGCAGGTTTTATAATTCTCTAACTCCCTACACAACCCGTCTATAAACATCTACAGTGGCCTACCTTTCCCAACCAGTCCTTGGCAGGTGAGGTGACTCTGTTTGGTGTGGTCACTCTCTTCAGCCAGGAATACCAGGCTCATATTACACCTGCCTTGCCATTTAGCACAGATGCAAAGGTGGAAGCTTGTTGCGGTTGTCAGCAGGTCTCAGTCAAACCAAGGACAATAGCCTATATTCAGAGGGGTCCCAACACAGTAAGTCAAGAGCAGCTTCTGATATGTCCAGGGGCTTGGATACGGTCAGTCAGCCATTTGGGACAGTCACAGTTAGGATGCTCTTCGCATGATAGGCAAAGGGCTGAATGTTGAGCACCATTCCACCCGTCTATACTCTTTCTGCCTTATTGGGGACTGTCTGTCTCCTGGTATGAGAGGTCGATATTAAGAGAGGTGAAAGGGACTGGCACAGCTGTTACTTTTGTTGCAGGTATGGAGATAAATGAGTGATTAGGCAGTGCAGAAGGCATGCAGGGTGAGTAGTATCAGGGGTTAAGGTAGGTGAGAGTGAATGGAGGGAGATGTTATGGGCAACACAGTGGTAAAGCATGAGCCTTGGTTAGAGGCGGTTGCAGTAGCAGAGATAGAGTGTGTGGGTATCAGAGAGAAGATGGTAGCACTTATTTTGGCAGAGTGGAGAAAGTCATTGACCTTCTTCCTACAGCGCTGAGACCGTATTAATCCAGGTGGCACCCTCAGACCAGGCTGGCTTGTTTTGACATCACTACTGGTCCTGAGGGAAAAGAAAGTTCCCTGTGTGTACTACCCCATCCAGCAGGACCTCCAGGTCCCTGCCCACAAGCATGGCACTGAAGTCTCCCTGTCTGTCATGGCCAGAGCAAATTTCAGCAACATGCAGGGCAGCTCCAGACAGAGTTTGTTCAGGTGCACAATGGCTGTTTACAGGTAGTGAAGACATAAAAGGTACCAGTAAATTTCAGGATATGCACTGAGTGTGAGTTGTTCTGGGACAGCACGTGGTCAGATAGGGCCTGAATGGGATGTGAAGGAATCTTTGGGGTGGGGCAGGTAGTTAATGAGGTGAGTTTAGTAAGATGCAGTGAGAAAACCCACTTGGGTTCAGGCAGAAGTCTCTCCTATAATCTTGACACAAGCCAAAAAAAAGCACAAGATTCACTCTAATAATAAACGACTGGTGTGTGTCCAATGCACTGATCCATGCACACTCAGCTCACTGAATAGTATAGTAAGGTTATCTTGATCAACCAACGTAACGAGTCACGGAATTACAGGATGTGGCTTATATCCAAGCTCCCAATCTCATAAAGACCAGCAATGACAGTAAGTAACAGGAGGCTCTTCTTCCTACTCCCTCGACTCAGGGCTAGTCACACATTACAATGGCCTGTGAGGTCCACCTGCCTGATTTTCAATTGCAGATTAATGAGTCTGGCCAAAAGGGACAAGGAGAAAGAAAGTTTTGCTATACACCCAATTTAATAGACTCCAACAGAACGGATGCTTGGCAATGTTACAGACTGGACACCATGATTTATGTAGTTCATTGTAAATTTGAAAAAGAAACAGGGAAGTTGTACAACTTATTTTGGTGGCTAGTTGCTTTTAATTGAACGTCTGAATATGATGTATTGTTTCAGCTGAGGAAGCAGATGTTCAGAGTAACCTAGCTGGTCATGTGAGATTTTGTTCTGTGTTATTTTGTGAATTCCAACAGAATTTCCAAACATAAGAATTAGGAGGAGTAGGCCACTCAGACACTTGAGCTTAATCCAACATTCAACAAAATCATAGCTGATCTGATTACTGAACAATGCTGTCCAACTCTGCTAACTTCTCACCCTATGCTTATTAAGAATCCATCCACCTGTCTTAAATATATTCAAAGACTCTGCTTCCATCACCTTCTGAGAAGTGTCCCAAACTCTCAACATTCGGTGAGAAAAAAACCTTTCCTCATCTCTGACTTAAATGGAGGACCCCTTGCTTTTAAACAGTGACCTTTAACTCTAGCCTTTCTGCCGCCACTCCTCCAATTAAGTTTGTGGTGGCAAGGCACATGGAAGATCTTCCCCCTTCCTCATCCTAATGCCCACTGGTATGTACTCAGCAGAGGCAGGGTACTTGCGATGAGTGCAGCACAGAAAACACGTTTGCCATCCTAGCTCTGATGGAGGAAAGGTGAGTTTTGTCGAGAGTCAGAGCCCTGTGATTGATGTTGAACCCCTTTCCTCATGCTCCACAACCAGAATACCCTCCTGCTATCACAACTGTAGCCTGGGATCCAATAATGCTCCTGGACCTTGGGTAGATATTATACTGACTGCAGCCACTGAAACCCCACCAAACCCCCAATAGTGCTATCATTCAAAAGACCAGCTGCTTCAGCGGTCTTGATCCTATAGAATGCCTGCCATTGTCTGTACAAGGAGCTTAGTGACACTTCATCCACAAGCCTTCCCTGAGAGGTAACATAAGACTGCAAAAGCACCACTGCTTCCATTAAATACAATTCACAACATTTATTTTTACAACATTCCACTTTTATTTTCTGTCATTATAGGTTTCGAACTGGATTCTTCTTGATCTATCAACTTCCAAGGACAGAAGGCTATCAAAGTGTTCTGAGTTCTCACTGTTAACAAATGGAAGCACCAATATCACCACAGATGACCTAGAGGATGAAGGTGTTGAGCTCTTGAGGAGGTAGCATTGTGTGAGTCACAGTGCATTGGTGAGAACTGGTTTATGAACTGGTACTTGTTGCCTGAAACAACTTCTGGCATAGAACAATAATTGTTTGTACTCTGGGAAATATGCCAGTTCTGTGACAAGAGAAGATGTCACAATTCTGATGCTATTCATTGGAAAAGGAGAAGAACAGGTAGAAATATTGAATGTAATGAATGATGACCTTGCCTACCTCTGGCAATTCAAAGGCAGTTTCAGGGCTCTTCCAACTGATGATAAAACTGTACAGTTGGCTCTGCACTAATTTTGAGCCTATGGAGTTAGCTATTCTGGATTGTCAAAGTGAATGGAAAAGAAAGTCAGCAATGAAAATGGGAAGCTGACTTGCCATAAGCCTATTTGGACTGACTGGTGCAGACCAATTTCAGCCCAATGATGCTAAATCATCATCATAAATTACACATTCTAATATGCTCAGCTCCTGAAACAGACCCATAATATTATACATAACCAACCTTTCCTTGGTGTTTCATACTTCACTTTAACTGACCTTGAGTACAAATTGCTCTACTCTTGTCTGAAGTCCCCAGACTTCGAATTTAACAGTCACCAGTTTATAAGAACACATAATCGGCTTCTGAGTTTCCCTCCAGCCTTCTTTCAGCATGCCTCGCTGTGTCTTCTCTGATTTAAAATACCTAAGGTCCTGAAACATAATAAAATGTCAGTGTTTTTATTTCATGTTTTTCAGCACAAATGCACAGCCATTAAAGTTACTTTACAAGGTAACAATTCTGGAAGAAAGAAACATTTTTACTACAAAATTTTACATAGATGCACATAATTCATAAGGAACACAATAATTTTATACCTAACATTTAAATAAAATCTTCTACTTCACAGGCAACAAATACCTCAAAGTTAGAAACCTTGTACGTTTTGCAAAATAATTACATTTCTTCAAACATTCCTGTTTCTCAATATTTTTTCCTTCAGCAGGTCATAATACAGCAAGAAAAAAGCTGGGCAGGTAAACATCCCCAGGCAAGGATGTGCTTCTCAGAGGCTTTTGAAGACTCATTATCTTAATTTCCTTTCCCTCCAGTTGAGAAACGCATTTTGTAAAGCACTTCTGTCTTACAGCACACCTAAGACCAGAAATTGATGGCACATAGGATAATCAGTTTGAACCTGAATCCTGCTGTCATACTTCACAGTGTCTGATGTTCAAAAGCTCTGTACTTTTGTGTCACTTGCAAGCTTTTTCTCAAAGTGCACTATTTATTCTTTCCCCTTTGCATCTTTCGTCTTTCTGAATGGACACTAACAGCCCTCTCTTTCAGACAAAAGAACAGCTAAGCACCAGAGAGTAGGCTTTTTACAACCCCTCTTCTAAGTGTTACCTCTGGTAACTTTACTTTCAGCTTTTCTCAGCATAGGAAAGTAATTGGCTTTGGTATCTTCAATTGGAGGAACAACCGTCCTTGGAAATGCAGCCACAAATGCCGGCCTTGTGATTCAAAGCATGACATGAATGAATGAATAATCGTCACACATATCTAGGGAGATACAGTGAAAAGTGTATATACAGATGTAGCACAGAAAGAAGCCAGTCAGCCGATGGTGTCAATAAAAGAATGTTTGATTTTCAGGTAATGCATTCCAGGCTGCTACTGATTTCCCAGCCAAGTGCACTGGGTGCTCATGCCTGCTGTGAAAGAAATCTGTAAACCTTTGAAAAAGTGTTTTCAGTCACTCAGTGAAATAACTATACGGAGGACAGTACCCCTTCACCAAGTCACCCTTAATTTATGTGTTCACAGTACATTGGCTGTAGCCAGCCAGCTTGGAGTCAGTCCCCTGAATTGAGGATATTCTAAAACCCCTGTTTATATTGGTCAACCAGGGCTTCCTGATTGGCCCAGGTTAACAATCCCAGTCAACGGTCTTGTAGTCAACAAGATCCACCTGGTTCCAAGCACTACATTCAGATTTCATCTTATTAAATTGAAATTACACTGGTTTCATGACACTATCATGAGTGACAAATATATTCATTGATATTGTGCCTTTCATGGCTTCCACAAGATATAGAAGCACAATTAAGCTATTTGGCCCATTGAAACTGCTCCGCCATTTGATCACGGCTGATATATTTCTCAACCTCATTCTCCTGATTTCTCCCCATAAGTCTTGATGCCCTTACTAATCAAGAACCTTACTAATCTACCTCTGCCTTAAATACACTCAGTGACTTGGCCTCCACAGTTTTATGTGTCAATGAGGTCCACAGATTAACCATCCTGTGGCTGCAGAAATTTCTCTTCATTTTAGTTCTGAAGGGACGTCCCTTCTCTCCGAGGCTGTGCCCTCAGGTGTCAATCTCTCCTCCTATTGGAAATATCTTCTCCAATGCCAACTCCATTCAGGCCTCTCAGTATTCTGTAAGTTTCAATCAAATTCTCCTCATCCTTCTAAACTCCATCGAGTACAGACCCAGAGTCCTCAATCACTCCTCATAAGACAAGCGCTTTATTCCTGGAATTATTCTTGTGAACCTCGTCTGGATCCTCTCCAAGACTAGTAAATCCCTTCTTAGATACAGGCACAAAACTTTTCACAATATTCCGAATGCAGTCTGACCACAGCCTTATACAGCCATAGTGGTATGTTCTTGCTCATGTATTCTAGCCCTCTTGAAATGAAATCTTACATTGCATTTGCCTTCCTAACTGCCAAGTGAACCTGCATGTTAATCTTAATAGAATCCTGAATGAGGACTCCCAAACCCCTTTTCTTCCTAACAAAGTGCATAACCTCATACTTTCCCACATTGTATTCTATCTGCCACTTCTTTGCCCACTTTCCTAGCCTGTACAAATCCTTCTGCAGTCTCCCCACTTCCTCATCACTCCCTGTCCCTCCACCTATCTTTGTGTCATCTGCAAACTTAGCAACAATGTCCTCAGCTTTCAGATATTCCATTGTACTGTATGACCAATCAAGGACTTATTGAAGTCATGTTTTTGAAATTGTACTGTGGGCATTATTAAACTATTTATATTCTTTAATCTGTGTGTATCTTCAGCTGACACTCAGATTTTATACGCATTCCAAGAACATAATTTAATTTCATTCTCAGCCTTTTCATTTGCTCCATTCAGTCTGTAGTCTGAGGTATTAACATATCAAAGCAAAGCCAATCAGTTAACATCTTTGTAGCTGCAAATATATAGAATCATAGAATCCCTACAGTGTAGAAACAGGCCCTTTGGCCCAACAAGTCCACACTGGCCCTCAGAGCATCCCACCCAGACCCTCCCCACCATAACCCATCTAAGCTAGACATCCCTCAACACTATGGGAAATTTTCCATGGCCAATCCACCTAGCCAGCACATCTTTGGACTGTGGGAGGAAACCGGAGCACCTGGAGGAAACCCACGCAATCATGGGGAGAACGTGCAAACTCCACACAGACAGTCGCCCAAGAGTGGAATTGAACCCGGGTCCCTGGTGCTGTGAGGCAGCAGTGCTAACCACTGAGCCACCATGCCGCTCTATCTGAATGGTCTTTAGTTATAAACAAAATTTACTGGATAATTCATTATTTAATTCAGCATTTCATTCTGCATCAGATAATGGATGTGATAAACTGAGTCTGAACTCATTTGTAGTTTATCAGATCTTTAGGCACATGGAAATACCAGATCTCAAATGCAGATTGAGCATCATCCACTCTTCTAATATCGCAACATTCAGTACGTTTGAGGACAGAGACAGATGTGTGAATGCAACTGTCATTAGGTGCTAACGTAAGGTTTTAGTGAAAACTGACTTTTTCCTCAGGCAGAATCTTACAGAGAGCTGAACAATGTGGGCTATGGTAAGGAATGTGGCAGAATCGTGAGAAATCTAGTGAGGCCTATGTTGAACGGGCTATTGGGAACAACCTGCTGCATCTTTCAACTAAATTCTTAACATCAAGACAAGATTCACATGAGGCAGTGGCAAGTTTTCTATTAAGGGGAATCATTGCTTGTTAATGAACTTATTAACTGAACATCTCACCTCATTAACATGCAACCTCCTAGCTTTGAGGTGATATCACACACAGGTCCCTCTGCATTTTCCACTCAGGACACTGAAGAAGTGACTGAGTCCTCTGACCCCACTCTGCCTGCATTCCTCCAAGACTGCCAGGGACATGATCTATTTTCTTGAATGCTGACTTTGTTTGTTAAGTTTTGTCAACTGGGAAGATGAATATTAATGCGGAAGACTGTGCCATTAATCAGGCATTTAATAAGTGTTATTCCCTGTCAATTGGCATCTTGCTGCGGTCTAGCGGGAATCTTGCCTTGCCGTTTGTAAAAAGCATAAAAGATGGCGAGAGTTGCTCCTGATGCGAGATGGGCCTCACCACACTTGATGCCTGATTCTGCCACATACCTTGTCACAGCCCACTGAAATAAAACCAAGAACGGAGGATGCTGGACATCATAAACAAACCGGAACTGTATCCGGTAAGACAGTGCTGGAGTAGGATGCTCCAGCTGGAGGTCCTTCGCTCGCCCATTCTTTTCCTTCTTTTTGTCTTTGTTTCTCCCCCACTCTTCCTTTCTCTTGGTCTCGGACTCCTGGCCCTGACGTCCGACTCCTGGCCTCTGAAGTGGTTGGCGGAGTCGCCAGTGACCCGAAGTGGGGACACCAGCAGTTGGAGAGGGGGCACCAGCAACCTGAAGCATGGCGGCAGTGGCCCAGCGTGGAGCAGCTTACGTGGAGGCTCCCTGCACTGGTCTGTGGTGGAGAGCCTTTTGGAGAGAGACTGTAATGTTTGTTTTTTTTTAAACTTTGCTTCTTGTTTTTCTGACCTCTGGTTATATTGTGTTTTACTGTAATGTAACTTTTTCTTTTCATTTCTCTATTTTGTAACCAAGGATTATACCTAGATGGCTTTGTACCTAAGATGACACTGCAAGTGGTGACTTACAAACATTTCACTGTATCCATTTGAGTTCATGTGACAATAAAGCTGATTCAATTCAAGGAAAAATAGAAGGGTCTGTTGCGAAGGGCATTAGACTTGAAACATTAACTCTGTTTTCTGCCCACAGATGATGCCAGACATGCTCAATTTCTGCAGTAATTTCTGTGTTTATTTGCTATAGCCTGCATTGTTCAGACCTCCATATGATTCTGCCAATAGTCGAGTTGGTTCCCAAGGTTGTCACAATCACAGACAGAAGAAATCTAGCAGGCTTTCAGAGGCCTTAGGCTCAACATTCCATTTCTCTGTGTTGAAAACCAAGGGCAAAGGAATAGAACAGGAGAAATACAGTTTCCAACAGTCAGTGTCAAAGTCATTGGCACAGGACTGGGAACAAGTTATTTGAGTTACTTTTGTGATGGTGCAGGGATGTGCCGTACAAAGAGACCAAGAAGAGAGGAAGCAAAAATGTTCAAATAGCCACCTAATTTAAGTAAGCTTTATCAAGACTAGTCCTGTAATAGGCTCATTTTCTGGTTTATGTAACAGTATTATGTATACAGCATAAAATAAACACATTCTGTCGCTTATTTTTATGTATGTTATAAACATAATGGTAATCTAACGTCAGCATTCAGAATCACGATATTTTATTAATAATCTCCTTGTCAAGCTATGGCACAGAAGGAATCATTTTCATTTCTCAGCGACAAGATT